GATCTCCTCCCCAGGCTGACCATTCTCATGAGTGGCTCGAAACCCCCCATCGTCGGAATAGAAGACATGGAATTTTCTTTCATCGAGGATCTCTTCTGGCATTTTTGCAGTTGCCTTGTCCAGAGGCACTGGGCGTTCACGTTTGAGGGACATGCGTAGCTCACGGGCCTTGCGCTCATTTTCCAATTTCGACGGTGTGCGCATGAGCATGTTCGGGTTCGCTTCTTCTTCTCGATCACCGCCGGGTTGAAAAACTTGCAGTGTCTTGTCGCGAAGCTTCTCCTCGTTTCCTCTCTCTAAATCATGGATGCCCACTAATAAAGAGTAATCCATGATCTTGAGCCGCTTCAGTAACTCAACATCCCGCTCAAGCTGTGCCAGAAAAAATTCCCGTTTCGATGGCCCGCACTCGAGGTGACGTTCTCTTCGGACCCAGTTCAGGTCCTTCAGAGTGGCCCGTGGATTCTTCTCAAGGTCTTCTTCGCGCAAGTCACGGCCGATCGTCGAGCCCTTCAGGTCGAAAGTCTGATGAATATCCCGATGAGGCGGGAAGAGGTTGTTCATAACCACGAAATGGATTTTGCGTCCATAGGCCATCTTGACACGATGAAGGCCATAAAACTGTGAGATCAGTGTGTTGGGGTTCTGCTCGACGTGTTTATAATACTCTGGGAGGATCTTGCGTAACAACTTGTGTTCGGAGTGATGTATGGTTTTGATGATGTATTTATAGTCTCTCGAAAAGTAAAAGAAGCTTCCACTTTTCCCAGGCGAGCCCAGTTCTGAAAGAATGTACTTGCTTGTGAGAGACATCAAGTAGTCAGCAGGATCAATCCGGAACTTCGTTCGCAGATGTCGGAAGACCCAAGGCGCATAGTCTTTGAATTTGAAATCGTATTTGGCGGAAGGTGTTAACTCATTGCCAGTTCTGCCCACGGGTCTAGTGTAAGTGAAAGAACGAGTGACCATAGGATAGGGGATAGGGACACTAGGGCATACATGTCAAAGGAAAATTTATGTTTGGCCTCGAAGTCGGCAGGGGTGAGTTCCCGGTCCATCTTTGCATTGATCCTCGAGACGGTAAACCGGATTCCTGTAAGCATGTTGTACGCTGTGACCCAGTTCACATGATTTTGATCCACCTTTGTTCCCACGATAACACGGTCGTCATCGTCGTCATCCCGGCGTCTCCTCTTTGAAGCCCTCCGTTGCTTGATGGCCTCTGCCCATCTGGCTGCATCCTCATCAGGATTAGCTTCGTCCAGGAAGGTATCTGAGCGATTGGTTTTGCTGGCCCGGCGGCCAAGACTGAAAGAGGTACGACGAACTCCTCCTGTCGGAGACAATCGTCCGCTGCTATATGCCGCATCCTCGGAGTGGTCGCGACTACTTCGACGGCCGCTAGTGTTTCTTGGGACTTGTAGCGTATGCCGATGTCGAAGGCCGGAATTCGCCGGTTCTGGTTGTTCTGTGTTTGATGGGAGCGGGGGGGAAGAATACCGATGGGGGCTTTTCTGCGACGGGGATAGACGGCCAGGGTCAGGTGAGAGACGTCCTGTGTCATTGGGTTGCGAAGTTGACTGCCATGTCTCCGAAACGTTCCCTATCGATTCCGGAGAAACCAGTCCATCGGCAGAAGGTCGAGCATGATCCCCATTCATCATAGGTGTTCCATTTGGCGATCGTGGATTGAGTGATGTACCATTAGGCTGCTGACTGATTAGTGACGCCGTCGCCGAACCTGCACCAACACCGACATCAGTAGATTTCCGCACGAAATCCTGCTCGTGAGTCATGGAAGGCCGTCCGCCATCCCGTGGGTCTCGGGCCGATACATGGCCTAATGAGTGCATGCTTCCATCTTTCGAGAGTGACAGATCCCGGTTGTATGAACTGGCGCTTGATCGGGGCCCATTCAAAGAATACACACTGCCATTCGCGAGCGGTTGGCGGTCGTTTCCGGGGGCGTCAAGGTGACTGGTGTCGCCATTGGGCCAGTTTGTCCACAGAAAAGTGTTACCCACGGGACTTTTATCGTGCGGTTTCCCTGGCGGAGAGTCAAAAGAACGAGGGTGGGTAGCCGTGGCAGTGGCCGTCTGATAAGAGCTGTCATTAGAAAAGGATGGCATGATCGCTAGATTTCGACTACAGCGCAAAGTGGGAGCGCCGAACGGTGTGTATAGAAAGGAGGGGATAGAACGGTGACGTGAGACCTGCGTGGGCCTACTAAGCTCAGCAAACAGCCAGCGTGCTGGGCGGGATCCGGGATCGGCTGTCTCTCCGGCCAACGACGGGAGGGAAGATAGCGTGGAAAGGAAGGGGGTGGGAGAGTGACAGCGAGTGATCAATGGCAAGATTCGAGATGCAAGTGAAAAGGTCCCCGAGTCGAGCTGAAGCCACCAGCCGGGGAGGGCGTGGTATCAATTTAGCGACGGATTGGCATGTTCATCAAAAGAAAGGAAAATGGCGAAATGTATGTCGACCAATACCGGCACTGGCAAACGTGTTCGAGTCCAAGACGATTAATGAGTGCGAAAATAAAGGGAAGCCGGACAAAAATGTCGAAAGGACGAGCTGTTGATTAAAGGGCGAATTAGACAAGGAGGGGAAGGAGGACGAGTAGTAGAGAGAGTGTGTGAAAAGCAGACCAAGTCGACGTTATGGGATGATTGATGGGTTGGGGGGAAACTTTGGAAAAGGAACAAGACTGACGGTATTATTTCTTGGTAGGGAAGGGGAGGAGGAAAAAGACCTCACAATTTGGTATGGGCTGGTATTGTAACTCTGGGTCTGGGCAGGACAGAAAAGAAAAGGAAAAAAGGAAAAAAAAAAAAAAAAGGCGTACAAGAGCAAAAAAAAAAGGGTGCCTGGAGAAGGGGTGGTATTACACTGTATGACTGTATGGAGTATGTATGAGATGAGGTACCTTGTATATACATACCTAGACTCCGTACGTCCTGAGTACCTTCAGTACTTGTACCTAGTATAAGGGTATACTAGTACTAGTAGGTAAAGAGGGATGTATACTCCGTACCTAATGTAGATATAAATATGGTCATACAGAACCTTTAATGTTGACGGATAAAGAAACAGATGGACAATGCTCCGTGGCAGGCAGAGAAACTAAAGTGCTCTCCCTCTTATTTTATTTTTTTCTTTCAAATATCTCTTTCACTGGAATACTACTCCGTAAGTATAATCATAAAAATCACAATGCAAAAAAAAAAAGAAAAGAAAAAAGAAAATGAGGCTGGTTGGTAGATACTATTACAAGGAAACCCGGAGGGACCCATCTGTGTCAGTTATTGTGCCTGGTCAGGATGGATCTTTTGCTCCACAGTTTTGATTAAGTAGCCAGCATTTATTAACCACTTCCAGCAACGGGGGTAGCCCTGTGTATTGTAATCATCATACAGATAAGTAAGGAACCAGTCCCCCTCCCCCAAGGCTGTATCACGGAAGATAAGGAATGGCAGCCATGTGTTGCTTTGATTTATCTACTACTTACTACAATACTCCGTACAGTGACAATTAGGTAACAATACCTGTACTAGTATTAATATAATCTATCTAGGTCATATGGTATCCACACAAGGTCTGTATATACATTATGTCGGATCAAAACTGTAGAGATCAAGGTTTGCTGTAGACGGAACCGTAGTCCTGGACACTTTTTGCATAAAATCCATAGGTCGATTAATCGGGTTCGGTTCCCAGAATGTACATATTTATCCGCCAAGATCAGTTAGAAATTGCCCATCGCCTCATACACTGCAAACTGAAACAACGGGTTACGTACATCCCGAAGTACCGCTGTATGTGTATGTATCACGATGACAAGTGACACTTCACGGAGACACGGACACGGGGCGGCAAACTGCATAACCTATGCAGCTGTACTACGTAGCGGCAATTCCACTACGTAGTACCTACTACTAGTATTATACTGGAGCAGTATGTATATAACCCTCGTGAAAGAATTCTAGAGACATCATACTACAATTGTCGCTTCCAGGAAGTATTTGAAACATGGAATGAAATGTTTCGGGCAAATTATGTTTCCCTCAATTGAAAAAGAAGTGATTAATGATAATAATAATACGGAGTAATAACAATAACAATAATAATACTAACAATCTCACAGGTTAAAATCAACTCTCTATTTTCTTTACTCTATCACTGTCTCCCTCCTTCAGAGGATCTCACATATTGCTAGGAGCATTCTGAGAGAATTACACCGTAATGGGGTTTCCAGACTGGCCCTCCTTATCCAACCGCGGCAGATGCTTTGCTAATGATCGACGGTGCCAACGTCACACCCAAACGATCCTGTCCTGTCCTGACGCAATGAGCCCCTGTGTGTATTGCCCATCACTCTTCCTAGTATATCGATCAGGAGCTTAGATTACAGCCTTGACGCGATACTGGGCCTTGAGAAATGGCAGACCCGCCTGCTCAAGGTGCCTCCATAAGGTGCTTCCTAAGTTTAATATTCGAATACCTACTTACTCCGTAGTATACTACGGAGAACTACTTGTGCACTGAGTGGGTACTTTTTGTTGTTCAGGTGAGGAAGAAGAAGGTTGATTTTCTTAGCTATCTAAGGGGAACATCACTGTATAAATACTGCAGAGCTCATTGTTCTGAGCTTTTACTATCTTTCTTATTCAGTCTTTGAATAGCTGCATCATTCCTTTATATCTAATACTGCAAAGATCTAAAGATAGTCCTTTGAGCATATAGGCAAGAACAATCGACCTTTGAACAGGTAAATGCAACCCTATCAAGCACAAAGGCAGCCAGCTTTCAACACTTTTCTATCTGCTATTTTTGGCATTGGCTCAAGGAGCGTGAAGGAGTCCATCTACCCCTCAGATGAGCACCCGCACTCGGATCAACAAGATCCTTCAGTATCCTTTAGCTACCTGCGCTCCAGACCACAAAATCGGGTTCAGAGACTTCTACAATTCTACACCGGGACTGGATAGGGGGCCTCTCGCTGAAGAAGCATGGTTATCAACTCCATTCCGCAACATAGCACTGTCCGCTGACGCGTGCCGCAAATAAATATCAAGCACAAAGGAAAAAAACAAAAAGACGTTTCCCATATCCACCGCAAGACGCCAACCCTACCAATAACGAAAGAATAAACCATCAACATATCCCAGAGGCAGTCACCGCATCGACAAAAAAAAAATAGAGATAAGAAAAAAGAAATTACAGCCGAAGAAAGAAGGGATACAACCCAAGAAAGAGAAAGATACAGCCCGAAGCCCTCGTCATGTCAACCAAATCGAACACGAAATCACCTAGTCGCTCAAAAATATGTTCTGCGAGAGATTGGCTTTAGGCCTTCTTAGTAGACTTCTTGGTCGCCTTTTCAGCAGGCTTAGCCGTTGTCTTGGTCACACGACCGGACTTCGTCTTGCCGATGACCTTGGGTTGGTCAACAACGGCAGGAGCCTGCTTGGATGTTAGTATACAGACCTGGGACAAGGGCGACCGAAGGTAATACGTACAGCAGTGGATGCTTTGCGAGGCTTAGCGGTGTTCGCCTTAGGTCTGCCGACACTCTTCTTGGTAGTAGTGCCAGTCTTCTTGGTGGTCGTCTTAGGCTTCTCGGCCTTTTCGGCCTTTTCGGCCTTCTCAGCCTTCTTAGTAGTGGTGGCAGTAGCCTTCTTCGGCTTAGCCGTGGTGGTGCTCTTCTGATAATTGTATTAATCATGTTGAATTCTAGGCAGATGAGAAGGCATAGATCACTTACCTTAGCAGCAGGCTTAGGAGCAGCTTCCTTCTTGGCGAGCTTCACGGGTCCAGAAGGACCTGGAGATAAGACGCGTCAGCCCACACCCCATCAAAACAAAGGATACGCGACGGTAATAGAGTAGGACACACGCAACAACGTGTTTAGTTCAGTGGTCGCAAGGGAGGCGACTCCCAAGGGCGCGCGCAATAAATTTAAACTTACCCTTGGGTTGGGTGAATTCACCCTTCTCAACACCTGCCTTAATAGCCTTGTTGAACTGGCTATCGAAGGCGTTGGTAGATGCAGGTGCAATCTTGTTATTTGCCAAAACATATTTCTTGATGGACTGGCGACTGTCATGGGGCGATCAAGTTAGCCTACTACGCGACTTGGACGCCTTCTGCGGTTGCCACGTCGCTTGACGAACGGGGCTCTTGCGCGGGGAGACGAAAACAAAACATACCTGCTACCATTGCGCTCTTTCAGCTAGAGGACAAGAGGTTAGCGACCAGCTTGAGATAAAATTAAAGAAATTCTGACGTGATGTTGGGGTAATCCAGCACCGTGCAGACGTGTCACGGTCGGGGAAGTTTGGACCCAACATCCATCTCCCAAAGCGCCTCGGGAACAGCGTGATCAACTCACATTCAGGATAGCATCCTTGATCATATCTATATCAAATGAATCAGCACTTATTCGCGACAAAAAGGATATTAAGATCATTCCAGCGCGATGTGGTGGTGAAGAAAGATCAGTAAAATCATACCACGGTAGGAAGCATGAGTCGAGCCAGTCTTCTTGGCTGCGCCGGTGGAAGCTTTCTTGGGAGGCATCTTTAGGGTGGGTAAGTATAACTTGTAATTTTAAGTCGAAATTGTAAAAGAGACCGAGGTCTACGAGACGATATTCAAGTTCAACAGGCGTAAGGGTGGATCGTTGATGGAAATAGAAGGAAAAGCAGTCGACGACGGAAGGGGTGGAAGGCCGCGGGGCATCCGCGCTTTATAGGGCAGCGGGTGTTGACACAAGATCACTCACTCCCAAGCACCTACACGTCAAAGTCCCTCTGCTGTTTCTCCTCTTTTTTTTTTCCCTTCCCACTATTTTTTTTTTCTTTTTTCTTTGTGCCTTTTCTCGGTAGATAATTGGTAGGGCCGTTTTCTCGGGTGATCAATATTATGATAAGAGTTAGTCCTTAAAGCTAGCTTTTGGGAATGAAGTGGATATCCATTGCATTTCAGCGACAGATCGCACATCCTCACTCACTCCCACGCGCATCCTCTACAATCTTTCTACGCGTTCTGCTTCCACCTCTTCCCACCCTTCTCTCCCTCCTAAGTTATTTTTTTTTTTAGTTTTTTTCTAAATTGATTCTTAAGTTAGAAATCTTTTAGGAATTATTTCCAAAGCATATGGTCAGCTTCTCTATATTTATATCTATATCTGATGCCTTTGGTGAGATAAAGAAAGAGGAGAAAGGTGAAGCGCGTTTCCTTCCATGTATACGTACCTAATTTCCGTATCATTTTCGCAGCCCACAGAAGGCTCTCGCAAAAGTAAGAACGATCATAGTGTGTTGTAATAATCATGGCTATGTTAATCTATTCCTGGAGTTTAATTGATCATCCATCTTGTCTTCGGTTGTTCTACCTTACGGTCTGGTTGGCTCTATCAGGATCAATGATTCCGGGTTGACCAAGCCAATCTTGGGGGGAGGGGGGTTTCTACATCCATTGAGATCGGCCATTGGAATCCGTTGTTTGATCAAGCTCATGGCCTCCTGGCAGCTTGCCGGCTGGCTATAAAAGTCCAAGCTATACGGAGGGCATCGAGCTGTCCGTCCCTTGCATGTTGTCGATGAAGGGAGAACCCCCGTGGAGTCTTCCATTTGGCCGCCTCGTGCCGTTCGGGTCACGAGGGGGGGAATGATGTATGGATCGCCTGTTTGAGTTTCTTCCTAACTTAGGAGATTCCATACTTGAAACGCTGACGGGTCGTGTGGTTATTGGTTCCTCTACTTGAAGAATATAGATCGCAACCCATGGTTGGTGTTCCGACAATTGGCTGCGAGGCCTGATCAATGCGCTGGTCGTAGGCATGTATGAATCATGTGTTTTGCACTGTACAGAAACATTCTATACACGCCCCGTTGGAGTACTGCTTGCGGTGGACCTGTGCCTCAAATATATAGTAATATGGGGATAGATTCAGTATTTAGTCTACCTAGCTAAAACCCACTTGTGCTATTGTGGATGCACGCTCGGTGGTTGATCGTCAGGATCGTGACCATGAATTGAATCTATGTTACTAGTAAGCATGTATACCCAAGCAGGACACCTCCCCATTTGATATCATGGTTTCAGATCCTCCCCGGTTAATGTGCCTGAGTGCTGAACTTATGAGCTCTACTCTATCGTTATACCGTTAGGGTCTGTTGGTCGTGACGTTCTAGCGTTGTGATCTCCTTCGTCACTCGATAACCCTACTATAGTGCGCAGGATCCATCTACTGCCCCGCCCGCGATATATATCACTCGACCAGAAGCTCTTGAACCTGATCCCTCGGACCACAGTGGTAGCAACAGCGAACCCTCGTCTCCTAGAGATAATAGCCCAGTAGCTGCATCATCTAGAACGAAGATTAGCCAGATTTCCCTATATAATCAGAGAAATCAACATCCGCTGTGTTGAGATACCATGATGTCTATCACTACAACAATGCCCAACCCCACCACGGACCGTCACAACCAGCAAAACATTTCCTTGTAATGCCTAATGGTGAAGAATGGGTATGTCCATGTGATAAGGCATTATATTTACTACTTTCATGTTTCTTCGCTGAGGGATCACAGAATCCAAGCTGGGTTTCACTGAGAGCGTCTCTCGGCACATGGCGGCCTGACCTTACCGACCCACGATGGCAAATCCTCCGATAAAAGAAAAGGCATGCCTTCGAATATATTAAGCGCTAGAGACGACCACATCTCCCTACCCTCTTACTTGTAGAAATATCTTAGCCTTTATTTGTTGGATATACAAAAATTACAGTCGGTGATTTGCACCCCATCAATGAAACGCCGCCTCTCAGAACCAAAAGCCAAACCGACAACCCAGTGAGCTTATCGCGCAACGCCAACGCCATCTTATTGTTTTTTTCGACCCCCCTCCTTAGCCGTCACCTTTTCAAGAACCTCCTTGTCGCGCAAAAAACATTGACTGAATCAAGGAGAGCGAATCCCTCACCCAGCACCGCGGGGTCTTGCCTTGGCCTCCTTCTTGGCTTTGGCCTCCTCCTTTTTACGCTTCTTCTGCTCCTGAAGTTTTTCGTCGTGCTTACGCTTGAGGTTCGCCTTCTCCTCATCGGTCCGGGCCACAGGTTTGAAAAAGCCCTCTAGACGTGACTGCTGGGCAGTCTTCAAGTTCTTCTGGAGCCGAGCTGCGCCGTTGCGTACTCGATCCTCATTGAAGCCCTTGTCTTTCACTAAAAATTCCACAAGGCCTTCAATATCTGGTGCCTCCCATTTGAAATCGCAGTCTGGGTGGCTAGCTTCTCTCACGTCTGGGTTGAGAAAAAGCTCTCTTGCATCCTGATATGGCCAGTCTTCTGGAATAACGTATTTCTTTTTCGGGTCGTTCTCCACATGCTCAACAACTTTCTCAAGGCTCCCAAACTCCCGAATGAGTTTCAGGGCGGTATTGGGTCCCACTTTGGGAATTGGCTCCAAGTAATCGCAGCCAAGTAAGATACAAAGGTCGATAAACTATACCGCAAAACATAAGCAAGACCAAGCGCTGCTGGAGGAGTTGTGGGTGGCTTTACCTGCTTTCGGTCCATATCGAGTCCTTCCAGCGCGCGGCTGAGATGAATTTCTAGGATCGGTTCCTTTCGCTGTTCGCTGAACGTAAGATGCCTCAGAAGAATGGGTGCCTCAAAGCATAACGTGTCCATATCCTCGGAAGCAGCAGCATAGACCTTTCCCGCCCGTGCAAGGACTGCGCACTGCGCCTCTGCTTCGGTGGGGGCATCGATATATGGGATACCCATAAGCTTCAATAGCTTCTTGCACTCCGCATTGTGATCTCTCGTAACCCGTACCGTACGCCGTGAAAACTTCTCAACGTCCTCCGCTGTACCGGTTTCCTTGGCCTCCTCATGAGCCTCAGTAGCTTCGGCTTTTCGAGCGGTACGCTTGGCTAGCTCGCCAGATTTGAGCTTTGGCGGAGCTCCATCAAAAACATAAAGAGGTTTGATTCCGTTGTCGACCATTCGCAAGGTGCGGTAGAACATGCCCATCAGATGCGACGTGGTCTCACCGGTGTCGCTCATGAGTTGTTGGCCCTCGGAGCGCACGGCAATGAGGAAGCTGTAGATACTCATGGAGCTGTGGCATGTTAGTTTCCAGTCTCCGCTTGCTCCCCAAGAAGGATCAAGTTACATACGCATCCTAGATTCCAGTGATCACCCGTTAGCCCAGACAGCGCCCTAGTGCACATCTAAAAAAAAGGAAGGACGTGACATACTATAGCAACCTTTCGGCCAAAATGGTTTTTGATATCCCCCGCCTTGATCGCATCAGGCGCATTCTCCGCGATTACCTGGTACAAGTCTGTAGAGATCAAAGTCAGTACCAAATGAGCTTCCACGGTAGTGCGGCAACAGGTAGTTGGTTGACGTTAACTTACGCTTAATACCCATAATGAGTTTCCTGTTGTTGTAAGATAAGAAGCGTGAGTGAACCTAGCCAGGACTACTTCTTGGTTTAACCAAGATCACAAAAAAGGTTTCTAGAGTGATTACCGCGACCAAACGCGCGCCGAGCTTTGAGAACGCGCGACGGGCGGGAATACATCATTAGACCTCATTGGGGTTAGCTTCCGGCGAGATACCTCCCACGTGACTTCCCCCGCTAATAATCCCCATTCCTTTCGCCTAAGGCTCTAGGGTCCCTCTAGGCCTGGCCAGTGAAAAGGAACGGTTTCAGTAAGCTTAAACAGTATGGCCTAAGGCAGTGAGGAGTTAGCATTCTCTCCATCACTAGTATCTCCTGCAGCCCCTCTCCCCTCTTCCCACTTGAAAATCCACTTCTGTGGCCGTAGGCAATATCTATAAGAAAGAAACGAGACCCCACTGCGAGCTGTGATTTTAACGATGAATTTTTTTAAACCATGAAACGCAGTCGCCTTGATTTCGAAGCCAATGGCGATGCGTCGTCCGCTTCACCTCCCCGAGGTGCTCTGCCATATCCTGCGCCGGAGGCTAACTCTCGACGTGAATCAATGCATATACCCAAGATCTCGCGAAAAATACGTGCGTGCACCGAATGCAAAAGGCATAAAGTCCGTTGTGATATGAAGGCAGGGGAATCGGTCTGCTCTAGATGTCGTCGCATGGGCTTGGACTGTGTCGTCAACAAGAGCCTCCAAACTTTGCTCGACGATGAAGCGGAGTACGTGCGCTTTGCTTCGTTTCAACCCAGATTAAGCCAAGTATGTCTCGTTACTAACCCAATTGTACACGCTATATAGATGGAAGACGACGATAGAGCTTGCCATGACCGATCTACTCAGAAAGGCACAATTACCAGAGCTCTCGTACTATCAAGCCGTTGGCAAGTCAGCGGAAACACCGCATAAGAAAAGCGATCGACGGGGGTCTACAGTATCTACAGAGGACATACATACCTCGAGGGGCGACGTCGGAAGAGATGCGACCGATGGCGGTGCCAAATCAGTGGTTGGAGTATCCCACCCGCCTTCCCATACGACCCAGCAACGATCGCAAATTGCTATTGACAGGGAAGAGAAACTATTGGTTACTGCTCCGATGGGCAGCTTGTATGAAGTGACCCAGTTGGGTGATATTCAAGAAAGTACTCCCGAACGGCATCATGCCTCAGACCGTGACACTGACCTTATCTCGCGAGGGACTGTGGACTTACAAGAAGCGGAGGAGCTGTTCTATTTCTTTGACCAGGTACTCAATCGCTATTTATGGGATGGTATAGCCCTTGTGCATAAGGACCTTACATCAGTCCGAAACTCGTCTTCAATGTTGTCTGCAGCCATCCTCACTGTTACAGCTTTGCATATGCCCCAAAAAGAAAGACTTTTTGATACCTGCTACACCGAATTCGCGAAATTGGCATCAGAGTCAATGCTTGATAGACACCATACCCTGGATGATTTACGCGCATTATGTATAGGCGCTTTTTGGCTTGCAGATGTCAGTTGGAAGCTATCGGGGTATGCAGTCCGTATTGCAACCGAGCGCAACCTACACCAATCATACAGAAAGGCTACTCAAGGCTCACCCGAGCACCAAGAACAGGCAAGGTTGTGGTATCTTCTCTATGTAAGTCTTCTCCATTGAAGTTGTGTATTGCAGATACTAACGATAATAGACTCTGGAGCACCATTTCTCCATCGCTTATGGCCGACCACCCATAATTCACGAGGACAAGAGTATCACCAATCATAATACCTTTACTATGTCCCCCACTGTAACACAATCCGACCTGCGTTTGCACAGCCAGGTGGATTTATTTATTATCCTTACTCGTATATACCATGCTTTTGGCCCCGACGTCGACCTTGAGGTACCTGAGAGCGAGTTTACTACAATCGACAAATTCGATGCCGATCTTGAGGAGTGGCAATCTGCGTGGTTACCTCGCCTAGGTATAATTATCCTTAAGCCCTCTGATAGAATATCTGCGAACTAACATGTTGGATTGAATAGCCGGGAGTCGTTATGTTGGTGCGTACCCTTATAAAGCCGTCTATCTACACTACCATTTCTCCCGCTTACAACTGAATTCTGTTGCATTGCGGACATATCATTGCTCACTGTCAGCCCGCCCCTTATCTAACGAGCGAAAAAAACGCGCAAACTTGGCCATAGAATCTGCCATTGGCACGCTATTGGTCGTCCTGGATGAGCCTGATATACAGAGGGCTTTAGTTGGTGTTCCGTTGTATCTACATAGCATGATCACCTTTGCCGCTGTATTTCTGTTAAAGATCGCAGCTAGAAGCTGCTCGAGCTGTATACCTAGTAAGCCGGGCAAGCAGAATTCTATTGCATCAGCGGACTTGTCCATCGATATCGCATACGTGCGGGCCTTGGTTGGACGGATTATTGAGTTGATGGTGTCGTGCAGTAGGCGAGCTAGCGAACGTCACCTCAGTCACCACATCGCCCGTGGTCTGAGAAAAATGCTTACGGGACTTGAGGAGTGGGAGAGAAGGAACTCTTACAACGGGCAGTCCACGGGGCAGAACTTTCGTGACCCTTCTCAGAATTCTATGTTCAAACCCATAATCATCCCTGGGGCCCAGCCACTGGGTGAGCGGGACACCATACTAAACCACCCGCCGCCACTACTAGGTATAGCTCCTTTGTCTGCTGAGAGAGGTAGTGGATTGGAGTCTGCTGCGGCACAACTGAAGCAACAGCCAGGTCTCTCGGAGGGTTCAGTGGATCCTATGATGGCTGATTTGTGGGGCTTCGACGAGGAGTATTTCCCTACAGGGGTCTTTGACTTCCTTCAGTCCCAAATGCCTGCCTGATTCAGGCTGCCGCCGCCGCCTCCATGAACTTTTGCAAATTGTGGCAGGATTGTGCTTGTTATACACCCCTTTTCCTGGTTGGTTACAGCATTGGTTAGCTTCTATAAAGCACCAGGGCGCTTTGAAACGAATCTCCATCAGACGGCGAAGCCTAAATTACTTAGTCTCTTATACACCGAGAGTTTCCACATGGAGAGAGGTCTCACTCGGGATGCTGCCGCATGAACCGAAAAACTCTCTATATTGGAGACCTTGTTATCTTTGGAAATCCTTCTGAGGGCAGGGGCTGGCACTTGTCCTCAGCATGTCGCAGGATGGCGGACTTCACTACTAGGTCTCGAAACCAATACACTTAGCTTCACTCATCAGAGGGCGATAAACCGAACTGTTGCGGCATTTCACGAAGAATTACCTAATACGAGTCGTGTTTCAAGTTTCTCAAGTCAATGAGCCAATTGTATAACAATTTCGGCGTACATAAGATTCGAGAATTGTACGATCTGGCTTGATGCTAGGTCGTAGTGCATAGCATAATGGGATTGACAACATGTCCACGAGCCATTCTACGATATAACAGGGAGGCTCGATAATGGCGGCTTGCTCCTATCAATCTCTTTTTCTTCTTCCCTCCTCTTCCCCCTTGCGTTTTACATTGAATATGGCACATATGGAGTTCTACTTGTTCATTGGGTGACACTGCCGAGGAAACGGAACAGAAGCCGAAACCGATAGATAGCGGGTGGGGGAAGTACCGGATATCCGCCTGCACTTCTCATAGGGTGCATTGAATGATAGGGGCCCTGTTTTCTGAGACCTATCCTAGTATTTAACTTGTGTATCAATAGTTAGGCCTACGGCTATCCCTGTGGTTGCGGAAGGTGGATGCGGAAGTTTCCAAACGGCAGGCCGACACCCGGAGCGATTGCCGAGGGAAATTCTTCCTTTATTTAAAGTTCGGTGTTCCTTTTTTAGTTCGGGCGATTCAAACAGCTTCCCCGCAACAACTCCATACTATTTTCTGTTCACGTATGTCGTACTAGTTGTCAATTCAGCTGTAAAGCGTTTATATAGCCATAAAGAGCTTATTTGACGTCACTTGTACTTCTGTTTGAGAAAACTTTTATCTGTTACCGCGCCTTATACTACCCATCATCATGAATCGATCATTGCTCCGTGTGGCTTCACGTCACCTCCAGTCGGCAAGCCACGTGCACAAGGCGCCCGCAGCTTCACTCAATGCGCCGGTGCGCAGTTTCGCGACCGCCTTCAACTGGGAAGATCCTTTGGCTGCATCGGAGCTGTATACCGAGGAGGAATTGGCGATTCAAGACACGGCGCGACAGTATTGCCAAGAGCGCTTGTTACCCCGGGTTCTCGGTATGCGACCTCCTTTGGCAGAGCTGACACCTGTCTATGAAAGTCTCAGTTCATTACACAGCGGGATAGTGGATATGTATGCTAACTGACGAGTATCTGTCAGATGCTTATCGAACCGAGAACTATGATCGCAAAATACTGGAAGAAATGGGCGAACTGGGTCTTCTCGGCGCCAGCATTGAGGGTTATGGTTGTGCGGGTGCCAGCACTGTTGCATCGGGTCTGATCACGAAGGAGGTTGAACGAGTGGATTCCGGATACCGATCAGGAATGTCTGTGCAGAGCTCGCTGGCGATGACAGCCATCTATGAGTTTGGATCCCAGGAGTTAAAGGATAGATTCCTGCCAGAACTAGCCAAGGGAAAGATTGCCGGTTGTTTTGGTCTTACGGAACCTAACCATGGCTCAGACCCTGGCTCTATGGAAACAGTTGCGCGAGAGCATCCTACTAAGAAGGGCTATTATTCGCTCTCTGGCACGAAGACTTGGATTACTAACTCCCCCATCTCCGACATAATGATAGTATGGGCCAAGCTGGAGAGCACAGGTAAGATCCGCGGGTTTGTGGTGGAACGTGACCAATGCCCCCCAGGAACCTTGGAGACTCCGGCCATCAAGAATAAGACCGCCTTACGGGCGTCTATCACCGGTATGATTCAAATGGATGACTGCCCGGTACCAAAGGAGAATATGTTCCCCGATGTTGAAGGCCTCACTGGACCTTTCACCTGCCTTAACAGTGCTCGACTAGGAATCGCCTTTGGTGCCATGGGGGCTCTTGAAGACTGCCTAAGCCGTGCCCGGACCTACGCCTTAGAGCGGAAGCAGTTCAAGGGCAACCCTCTGGCGAAGTATCAGCTAATCCAGAAGAAGTTGGCGGATGCTGCCACGGATGCTGCTTATGGAACGCTAGCAGCGACCCAGGTTGCTAGGCTCAAGGACCAAGGCAAATCTACCCCTGAAATGATCTCCATGATTAAAAGACAGAACTGTGACCGGGCCCTGGCCAACTCCCGGATGTATGTAGTCCCACACCCATTCCCATTACTAGTCGAAATTATGATGCTAATCTTAAACCATTCGATAGACTTCAAGAAGTCTTCGGCGGGAATGCAACCAGCGACGAATACCATATCGCCCGGCATGTAGCCAACCTATTTGTGGTGCAAACGTACGAGGGACAGAGCGACATTCACAGTGAGTATTCGACCGAATTAGAAATCACCGTTTCTTCCGGTATGAGGGGCCCGATGCTAATGATTGGTGTAGCGTTGATTCTAGGGCGTGCTATCACTGGAGTCCAGGCGTTTGTTTAGGACACTCGCCGCTGTCATCCTCGTAGAATCGCTTGCGGCTAATTTGGAAACAATAATGTGTGTAAATATTGTAGTTGGATAGGCCGAGACAGAGAGAACGGCACATCTAGTCAAATAACAATGTTCAATGTCTTACTAAGCAAGTTGATTGCCCCATGGCTATTGCTGGTCTAGCTTCAATCACCACTGGCTGGGCGCTGAGGTCGTAGTACTATTACTACTGGGTAGTAGAGCCTTCGAGAATCTGTGCCCTATATGCACGTGATAATAGACTGCGCCACGTGGGCACGCGAGGCTTGATTAGGCTTATATGAGAATGACATTTTGATGACCTGAACGGGAAGTCGCTGAAAGGGGAGGAAGTAATTCAAGAATACCTTGGATCATTGTACACACATACACACACACACACACTCTCTCTCTCTCTCTCTCTCTCTCTCTCTCTCTCTCTGTGTGTGTGTGTGTGTGTGTGTGTGTGTGTGTGTGTGTGTTGGGAGGAGGGGGGGTTTCAAGATGGTGCCTTCTGTGAGTGGAGGCGAAAGAACATGAAACCAAATTGTAAATGTCCTCTCTGTATGTAGATACATACATGTACAACGTGTACCGACAAGATGGGTCTCTATTCTATGTACTCCGTAATTTTGTGGGTGTTCTCCGTTATGCAATGCCTTGAGAAAAAGAAAAAAGAAGAGAAAAAAAGAGGGTCCCTTCCAGGCATGGTATTTAGTGTCCAGTCATGAATAAGAACCATGGCTGAAAGTGGCGATACCTTAAGTTGGCCATCATTTCGCACTTGCGCAAACTTACAGAATCTGTACTACCTGTACAGAGCACTCACTATAGCCCCAGTCTTAGTAGTAGTATCTCATTACTATGTATGTACGGAGTACGGAGCACAGAGTACAGGTCTTCTGTGTGGCTTAAGAGGGGATGTGGCTGAGCGAAAGGTACGTATGGTAAAGTATCAGGACCGGTAATACGGTCACTGGATCTCGCTCATCCACTCTTGCCTTTCCCTTCCTCTCCGTCTCCCTCTTCGCTCTCTCTTCCTCTTTTTCTTCTTTCAGCCCAATTTCCCCCTCTTTCTCTTTTTGCCCCCCCTCCGACGTAATCATTCTCACTGTGAGTACTTCACCTCCAACACTCCTTTCCCCCCCAAAAATAACTTTCTTTTGATTTTTGATGTATTCCATTCTCTTCCTTTTTATTACATCCTGTCATATTATTCTTCCCTCACTTCTAGCCTTACAGTACTGATCGGATTGTGTTGTGCAGATTTCCTAAATTCGATACCAACCACTCTTTCGACTGAGTGGTCGCTTTAAAAGCCTCTTTCTCTCTCTCTCTCTTTTCTTTCTTTTTTTTTTTTAACATCACATCACCTACAAAATGGCTCTTAAGAGAATTAACAAGGAACTCACTGACCTCGGCCGGTAAGATATCTATATTTCTATTTCCATGATTTCCCCTCGTTCTCCATCATGCCACTGAACGAAACACCCCACTATTCCCGCGGGGCGTTGATGAAGCACGTCCTAGACGATGCCCTCCTTTGATCGATCGCTGTTCTCCCGAAATGCTAACGCTTCCATTCTTTGGTAGTGATCCTCCCTCTTCCTGCTCCGCTGGACCTGCAGGTGAAGACCTGGTATGATTTCCCAGAAAACCCCTGGTCCTACATATCAATTCATTCCGTTGACGGCGGTGTCGCGGGGCCAACGCTGTGACTCCCGCCACCCGTCGATCACAAACTGTTCTCGAGCGAAAGTACTGACGGGCAATCTCATTGCAGTTTCACTGGCAAGCTACTATTATGGGTCCTGTGAGTGAAATCCCGATTGTACCTCTTTGTTTTGGCAGCACTCGCCCTTTTTCGGGCAAATAAGGACCTTGTGGCTTGCCCACTCGCCTTTTGTATGCTTGCGAACATGATCATTAATGCGATTGACTTACCAGGGTGACTCTCCATATGCGGGAGGCGTTTTCTTCCTAACAATCCACTTCCCTACCGACTACCCATTCAAGCCGCCTAAGGTCAACTTCACCACCCGTATCTACCACCCCAACATCAACTCAAATGGCAGTATCTGTCTCGACATTCTTAGAGATCAATGGAGCCCTGCTCTCACAATCTCTAAAGGTTCGTCGTCCGTATCCTCCGATCGCCGTTTTCAAGACTAACCGTACTTTTGCAGTGCTGCTGTCCATCTGTTCGATGCTTACAGACCCCAACCCAGACGACCCGTTGGTGCCTGAAATTGCGCATGTGTACAAGACTGACCGCGCTCGGTATGAAGCGACCGCCCGCGAATGGACCCGGAAATATGCTATCTGATCTTCGAAATCTCAATATAACACGGCCACCTTGGTCTTCCAAATCGCTTCTGCGTCTTCTTCCGTTCCGTTAGATCAGATCCGAAGCCTGGCGTACCGTGATCGTAGATCCTTTCCTTGTTTTTCCATTTGCGTGTCTTAAATTACCTGTTACCCATTTTCTTTACCGTTTTCCCCTGTCGGCGGGAAATGTCATATCCAACGATCATTATGACCAATACTCATGCATTCATGGCATCTTTTTGTTTCAGTCAAAGGAGTCGGGCAAATTACGTGATAAGCATATAGCCCAAGGCTCGTGGATCTGCCCTTGGGCCGGGGATGGGATGGAGGAGGATGTTGCTGGTACGGTCGTGAAGGCTTGCCTAAGGTGTGATGGTTATGAGATGGTGTGAGGAAATCAGGAGGTGATGGTGTACTGGTGTTGGCGTTTGTATCAGATAGCAGCTATCAAGGCAAAAACCAATCCAACCCAGTTTCTTGATGATGTCTTATTTGACTTCCAACTGGCGTGCTCGTAAGTAACTCCTCGCAATTACGTAGGTTTCACAGTCAATTGCCCGGTATTCGTAATAGTCTACACAGCCAGAAGTATAAAATTTCATGCCCACAGAGGCACGGTCGCCCAAGGCTAGAAGATGTGTCAATGATGCGTATTTGTATGTATATCGATATCTGAACTCCACATGTAATCTAAAAAAAAACAAAGCGCGCTATGTGTACACTTAACCAAATCTGAAGCTAAAATCATCAAGCCCATTCTCTCCTGTCTGCGTTGTATTTTGTCGGAAGGAAGGCTTTGCATTTCCTATCCGAGTCTGGTATAGATTGTTCCTCTTTCTCGGACACCATTTCTGTCGGTATAAAAACATAATTGATTGTTAAATCGATCCCAAATAGCAATAACTTCTCCGAATGTATACATAGCATAACGCCAATGGTGATGCTGTGAACATGCCACACTTGGTTTTGTATGTCGTGAAAATAATGAAGGATTATGAAAGGCTAAGCATATAGAGATAAGATAAAGAAGGAGAGAGGAAGATGAGGGCGCCGAGAAGCGGCCAAAAGAAGCAATAAAACAGACGAAATGGTGTAAGGGGTAGAGAGGACTCGGAGAACAAAATTATCCCTATGCAACTTGACTTCCCCTCCGGCTGCTGACTTTGGAAGGAGCCTTGGAGCCTCCCGCTACGCTGCCGCCTGCCTTGATGGTCCGCTGTGATGCCCTCGAAGCATGGCTCGAAACCTGGCTCACACTGTCACTTGGCTTGACGGGCTCATCGAATTTGCTGGAATGTTTAGAAATCCGGGAAGCCGCTTTAGAGGCGTGGGAACGATGGGAGACGGAGGATCTCCTCGAATCATCAACCTGGCTAATAGAATCATCAGGAGTAACATTGGTTTCGACGTCAACATCGTCATATACACTCTCTGGGAGCGGGATATTGCGAGCAGAAACGCCCGATTTAGCACCACTGCGGCTGGAAGCAAATGATGCTATAGAGCCCTCGGGGAGTGGGACGTTGCAGGCACTACGCGTCGCTGAGACAGTGCTGCTAGAATGAGATCTTGCAATTGAATGGCGGGAAGAATGACGAGAAGAATGGTGCGACGAGTGATGCGAACTGTGTGAAGAGTGATGGTCTTGATAGTTGGCCTTGGATGGCCTAATTGTCGATGATGAATATACGCTTCCATTGTCCATCGCCCGTGACTTGTCATGGAAGCTGCTGATCAGAGTGGCCTCGTAACCCCGGGAATCAACCGGTGGTGGGTATTCAATCGCTCTGATAGGGTAGTCGCTACCACTGTACACGCTTCCTTCAGAGGCCCGGCGTCCGTTCTGATCAAAGTAAACGCTGCCGCCACCACCCCGTGGAACAAATTCCGAGCCCTCGTAGATGGTGCTGGCACGAGGGTTCTTTGAGGTGACACTGCGAGTCAAAGTCGGACGTACTTCTGACTGAGAGTAGACACTTCTGGCCGGGGGAGCCTCGATGGCTCTGAAGCCTTGCAGTTCCTGGGAGGGAGATGGAGCTTGGGATGGAGATATGAGTTGTGCAAAATCCCGAGGAGAATATTGGGGCGGCGGTGTAGTTTCAGAAGGCTCTGGGTCGCCCTTTGACATTGCGTATGCAATAGCTGCGCCCGCGGCAGCTCCGATAAGAGTACCAACAATGGTCTTCGCTGCCTTACCATCGTCGGTTTTCTGGGTGGTATGATGCACGACATACGTTGGCGACGGCGCCGGCTGAACTTCGCGGGGAACAACCGACGGTGCAGCTCGCTCTACAGCAGTCGTCGCCTTGGAAACATAAGATCTAGCTTCAGATCTGGGAGGAGCCACACTCTCGGGCTTGACAGAGCTGGCTTTGCTTGTCGCTTTCGAGACAATTGACGGAGCTGTCTTAGATATGACCGAGCCATTCTCGAGCAAAGCCAAAGCCGACCTGCTAACCTCCGACCTAGCTGATGAGCTGCTCGGACGGTAAACGGCCTCAATGCTGTTGCCATCAACATCGATGATAGCTGCGCTATAGTAGCCAGATTCGGAATCACGGGTTTTTGGCTCTCCGTGAATCTTCCCACCAGCCTTCAATGCGTGGATGAAAAACTGGCCTACTGCGTCCTTTGATGGAGCAGGAAATGCAACATGTGCGGCGCCAGCTGGTACCCTAAAAAGCGAGTCAGCACACAACTTCGATTAGCATTGGCCGGGTGCTTTTACTTACCCTGGCTTTTGCTCCGTTATCCAAAAATCTGCCGGTTCCCCGGGGTTCTGGCCGAAGCCAATATAATCGTCATGACGACCAATAAACTGGTATCCCAGGGGCTGTAGACAGGAGAGGAAGAATGACGTTGAGGTGGGGAGATGGGAGACGGTCAAGGTAAGATGTGATACAGGCATCTCCAATAGAGGGAAGGACTCGCCGGGTGGTCAGCGAGTATGCACGCGGCGGTTGGATCTTGGGGGAGGAAGTATAGTATAGAGGACGGAAGCAGTACCAGATGCTTCGGACTTCGTCCCCACAGGGATAGGGCCACAATCTGAGGATTGACTAAGGTTGTAACGGGAGGAAGATATATGGAGAAAAGAAAGAATATATAGATGTACGAACACTAATGATCGAGTGAAAGTAGAATGAGACGTAAAGGAAGGAGCAACAAGGTGACAAGATATATTACTTCAAGGCCAAGCTATCGGTACGGGGGAATATCCCAAGAGTGCCCAACTAAGATCCAATCAGGACTGATCGGAAGCTAACAAAAAGAAAGATTTGTTCCCGAAGGAAACAATCCGCTCTAGTGATGCAAAACACGGTCTAGCATAGCAGGTGTTATTGCATAAGCTCGCAATACGTCCGAAGGCAAACCAGTTCCGACGAAGTGTCGACCTGACTAGCTCTGTGTCCTCTTACCGAAAAAACGAAATCCTGTGGGAAGACGGTCAAGAGACCCATGATGTTACCTATCGGTGAAGCTAGAAACGAGGGGAAGAAAACACTCTCACACGCCGCCAGGTCATCGTGGGGAAAGCCTGGCGGACGGTGCTGTAGGTGGCCCTGCCGGCATCGGATGGGGCGCCTATCAGGAAACGGTGGATACTGCAGATGAGCCAAGCATAAAACCGCATCATGTCAGAAGTTGAAGTGAATGAGGCGACGATACCAGGGTTGAGGTGGAGGATGGTGATTGGTAGTGGTGGAGTCGATATCGGCCAAGAAGGAGTCAGAGACAACACAGTACTCCATACTGCTACTTTTTAGTAATCATCATCATCATAAGTTAATAATAACCATAATAACTGAGACAGGAAATGATGCTAATATGGGATTCGAGATTCTAGCTCGAAAGGCCCAAGGCGAAGTAGTTGGTTGGGCTTTGGTCTTAAATGCCTCAGTGCTCTTGTTTTCAGAGACAGCACAAAGCCGAATAGTTTCACAAAAGGACCGTTTGGGGCCACTGAGGGGGGCACCTGGTCACCCTGACCGATGGGGGGAGTTTGGTTCCTGTTTTGGGCACTTCTGCTGCTGTTAGTCGCTGGATGGCGCCGTCTGACCGCCAAACAACACCCACTTGGTTTCTGCGTCGTGGATCATATTCGACGAATGAGCGGATGTGACATCAAGGGTCATGTTTTCCGGAAGAAGACAGAAAGCAAAACAGAATGGCCACTGAGCATGCCTCACTTGGTTTCAAAGAGACTGGGCCCATGCAGAGGATCTGACATCGGCGTTGATCTTTAACTCCAGTAGTGATCAGCCTGCACTCTAGCGGTAACGAATTAGGATGATTGATGGATTTTGCACGTAACCGAAAAACCCCCTCCAGAAATGAATGCCACATGAATCAACCTGTCCACAAGTCAAGTGAAGCGGGAGATCCACCCCAAAGATTTGCTGCGACGTCTGCATGCCACGTTGAAGAGGGAGACTCCATTCCCAGCCACTCGAACCACCCCGATCGATACTTGCATATGGAGTCGATGCAATTATCCATTCTGGGTCAATAGTGCATTGGTTGTTAGACCCCACCAAAGGAAGTGAGTCACAGAGAAAAAGGGGGAAGAAGAGGGAAAGGAGGGAAAGTGATGGAGAGGACAAACGAAAAGGCACTGAGGGAAAGTTGGCCGTGAGTTTGGTGGCCTCAGGCATGCAGTCACGGTGGTTCTTCATGTTCACCTTTTGCTTTTCTTCCACCTTCAACTATCTTTTGAACTGAACTAAACTAAATTGCCCGATGTATTGATACGATCAGTCATCTTATTTTAAGGCTGTTTTGCGAATCGCTTTTCAGCTTACTGCCTTCGTTGAATATTTTATGAACACACTACGACCTCCCACTTATCCGATGCATGCATGCAGGTACGCCTACATACCTACTATCTGACAACATGCTGTCCTACTCCTACCAGAAAAGAAGAATCGAATATTGACTGAAGTCAACATCAAGCATGAGCGCAGAGCGTCCTGTCCCAAAGATATTTGCCAGTAGTTGATTTCCCCATTATGTTTGTGTACTTAATCCTATTATTAACAGTCACGTCATCTCTTGGTCTTCAGGTGCGATACAAAGCCCCGGCACTGTACAGACCTTTGCCTGCGCAAAGGAAATTGAAGAGATGCAGATTGTGGAAGAACGCAGAACCTCGCTGGGGATGGTCGAACTACAAAGCCTAGTGGTAGAAGAACTTTGAAAAAGCCCAGACCACACCCTCACCACTTTTCTTATCGCAGATATCCCTGATATTTACTTGATAAGGGCGAGCTATCCAAACGGAAGCTGATAGCTCTCTCAAAGAGCCCTTAACATGATGATCGTGTAACCTTCGGTATCACGCGGCGCTGAAGGCTGCCATGATGCACAAGGAACAAGAAACGCGAAAGATATCAAAAAACAATAAGAGACTGTAGGTAGTGAGCCCAGAACGGTAAAAAAGGATGTGACACAGGAGACACGTCCTGCCAAAGTTGGTGTTTGCTGCACTTCGGACATCTCAAATTGGGTGGATAGTCGCAAGGAAATTCGTTACCTCGTCAAGCTTTGGCCGTTCCTATCGAAGGAAGGTTGTATCCGAAACGTGCGAATCATACAATATCCCACACTTCCTCGGCCGCGTGGCAGAACTTGCTACATGCCACGCTAGCACTCAGGCTGTAGTTGCTGATACTGATCGTGTCGTCCTTGAATGTGTCGGCAAAATCATCGTGACCTTTGGCCATGGCTCCGACAAAGATACAGACGCTCTCCTTGGGGCCTAGCGACTCAATGTAATCTCTGGTCCGCACGACGGGAGCCTCATAACTGAGGGTCACCTTGCGGCAATTAGGGGGCAGATGATCGGTGATGGGGTTCTTGATGACTTTGAGCAACTTCTCCTGAGAATTGGTGGAGCGGATCGAGAGCCGATGCAGGAGCTGGACCATGAGACCAGCAAATCGCTTGAATGTACGTGGAATTCGAACACTTGGGTTCACTTCGATTAGGACACCTTTGGCCGTGTGGATGTAAATTTGGAGTTTGCCGGCCTTGTTGACAGGGGAATCAAGCAGAGTGAGAAGACACTGCATCAAGTGTGGTTAGTTTTTCTCACCGAAGGCTCATGTACAGGAGCCGCAATCCGAGGAAGAAAAGATATACCTGATGAGTGATATCTGGTCGAGCTTCACTGATGTCTCTGTTCATCTTGCGCATCACACCGATATGCTCATCGCTGTTCAGCAATGAGTACTTCTCATCACGACCGGCACCATTGCGCCCACCATGGGAGGCACGGTAGGTCTCCAGACTAGCATGGGATAGGACAACGATTAGGCGTTGAGTTTCCTTGTCGTTGGCGGCAATGGGAACATGTTGCTCGGCGACGAGTTGGGGCAATTCCGGGGGCGGACAAGACTGAGTCCCTGGAGTTTGAATGCGATTAGCATGCAGTACATTGTGTTCTGATTGCATGTTGAACGGAATATTAAAAGAGGGGTCGATGGTCGTGGGGCTGGGCTGCCAGAACCACAACTGATTTGAAAAAAGCGGGGGGGTAAGAAGTAATGAGGTTTGGGGGTGACACGGGCGTTGTCTCAAAAAATCGGACAGGGCCGTGGGATCCGGGAACAAACGAAGAAGTGTATAGGATGTTAAATAGATGGGACGGGCACTTGAAGAAAGTTCAAGTAGACCGATGTCTTTAAATTGATACCTCGAGACATAAAAGAAGGATGAAGAAGGGATTTGTTAACCAAGAAAAGAAAAAGAGAGAGTTGAAATGCGAGGGAAAAAGGGTAAGGGAAAATAAAAAGAAAAAAGAAAAAGAAACAGGCCCCAAGCACGAACGGATAATGATATAAGTTAGATAATAAAGACTCGAGTGGTATACATACTCGCACGCTTTCTCTTCCCTGCTGCCTGAATATCTTGTGACATGATGTCGGGGTTGAACGGTCGAATTTCGTGGGCTTTGTATCTTTTCTTTCCTTCGAGGTGAGAATTGAAACAAGGAAAGAAGGAAAAAGGGAGAAAAAATGGCCCGAACAAGAAGAATGAGCCGAGGACTGGAAATAGAACTTTTTTGAGGCACTGAGAATGTAATTAGAAGATATAATGCTTCTTTCTTTATTCCAACCTGCTCCGTGGCTTTCGATATTTCTCTCCAGGCCACAGAATATTGGGAATTGAAGAGATGATAAGATTGAAGGATGTGACTGTTGGACTGGCGGGTTGATTCGCAGACAGCGGAAGAAAAAGAAAAAATTAGAGCAAACCAAAACCAAACCGCACGCCAGACTTACTTCGGGCCCGCCTCAGGAATCAAACACTCATTCGGGACAGCTAAACTGAAAGGGAATAGTCAACCTAGTCAGACTAAATCCCATTCATCTGGTCTTCTCACGCTGCTCCACTCTTCTCAAACTTCCGCATGGTTAATCTATCTAGACTCTAAAGGACTTATGTCTCGACTCCCCAGTTCTCTCTCACCACCCACTGGTTGTCTGACAGCGCCATTGTTGGCCGAGTTTGTTCCTTTATTTATCTAAACACTCTATCACATAAGCTTATTATGTGATGATTTGAAGCCATACTCATTTCCGATCAGCACTAATCAGTTGTCGACAATACATGAGGGGCTGTCATTGGCGCGCCTGGCTACTAGCGCCCATTTTCAATGTCATCTCATCTCGTCTTCGAGGCTACAGTGAGAACAAAAGCCTAAGGATTGGTAACTGGTACGGTTTATCGTAGCCCCTTGGCCGGCCGTACAGACCTATTTATACTTGGATTCCCAAGGCTTACTTGACACAAGGGTCCCAGAGCTCAAGTGGGAAGGAAACACTGCCAAAATTTGGGATCGACCCGGTGTCTTTCAGATGATTCGATGTGCAACCTCATACATACACTTTAGCCATTGAAAGGTGCAGGCAGCCACCACTTCCACGTCAGGGTTACACCTGTGATGTTTGAGCTTGTTTTCTACCCCCTAGAATCAAGTACAGCCTGTAGAGTTTGCCATGGACACATCTGCTCGGCTGTTAGACCCATGGAGGTTCTCGATGACATGTATGCACTGTACTTCATCAAAGTACACGGGTTATGGAGGAACCATTGTACGACAATGTCCATAGCACCAAGTGCAGTTATGCGCTTCGAGAGAATTTGAATTACACACACAGTCTGACTAGACCAGGGGCAATAAAGGGTGCCTTAGATATAAGGTACAGTATCTCTGTACGCAGTATCTGCTCATACCCTGGAGTGTATTGACTGATGATGTTCTACATCTGAACCCTGCTGCAGCACCCTGCGGGACTAGTGATAAAAAGAGGATAAACTAACTTGCTGTTCTACTATATATGACAACTAAATAGGTTGCCCTTCTGCCGATCCTCTCTAGCCCTCCTCTAACGTGTAATGGACTTGGCGGGGTAATGATCAGACGCCTCACAAGTCGCCACCATGGGATCCTTCCTACGTTTATCACTTACCACTTGGTCCAAAGGATGGCACAAGGGAAGAAGTAAAACCCTGTTCCAACTTGCAATGATAAGAAACACAGATTCTTATATTAATATGCGACCAGAGATACATGTGCAGGCCATCTGCTCGATGTTGGTAATAAAACGAAGATTATCCTGACAGTTACTTTTTCAGGGCAGTGCTATCCAACAGTGATAATAGCGGTAGGAAGGTGAAAGAAAGAGGATCCAAAAAAAGGGCGTGTGTGAGCAGTCAATTCCTAAAGATGTTTAGTGATGATTTTTTTTTTTTTTTTCGTGAACCTTTTTGCGTGGTACAACTGGGAATAGACAGAGTACGGAATAGATGAATGTATACTTACAACTCCTTTGCGGATCACAAACATGCCATTTGCAGGGGAGGGAACCAGAGTACATCTATTCATTGCCCCCTGTCTTGGAATTCGGCCGACTAATAAATGAAAATAAAAATAAAAAAAAAAAAAAATAAAAATAAAAAGGAAAAA